CACTTCACATGAATGCAAACAAACAAACTGGACAATGAGAACGGAAGAGATAAGGAAGAATTGAAGGAGCCCAGGTGAAGGACTGGGTCACGCATTGGGCTGCTCACTGTAAGGTCTGTAGCCGAAACCACTAGCTTTCTCCCCCATCAAGACTGACAACCGCTGTTGGTGTAGGTGGTCTTACGGGGTTTTGATTTTCTCATAATACGACCACCAAAGTAAACTTCAGTCGTGCATATCCCATGGATAAGCAAATGGATTCTGGGCACCTACATAACTCCAGTCCCATTCCAAGAACAGTTAGTTCTGATAACCTGGCCCTGCTCAATACTCATCTTCAAGAAATGATCACTGCAGATCAGGGTGCTACAGCACAGTGTGGTGAAGAAAGCAAATGGTGTCCAGTTGTCAATAGAAATAATGTCTGGGGTCTGAAAGGCTTATATTCTAACAGGCAGTCATCTAAGCAAGACGTCAACTAAGTCCACATGGAAGAAGCACATCAGCTTGTTTTGTGATCCAAGGATGACAACAACAAAATTCAAATATGATGAAGGGAAAAGTGGCAGAGCTAAAATTATGAGCACCCAATTTGTAGAAAGGCTACGGAGGACAGTGGGACACCCAAACCCTTCTGCAGAGTATCTAGTCAGATTAAGCCACTGGGCAGATCCCCTCTAGCCACAGACAGGGGTCTCCAGCAGCCTTACTATCAGAGATCACTGGAATCTTGATTACGTTGGATTTAACTTGATGGTCAGTTGACCTCCCTCTTGACCAAACCTGAATTTGTTCTAGGAACAAGTATCTCTTGCTTGTTCCAGGACAAAAATTCCTTCCCTGGCTTTTTAAATATTGATGGTGGTCTTTTCTCTCTTACTCATTATTTGCATTTGTATGTTGATATTATTTTATCCTTACCACTTTATTTCGTTTTTTGTCTTTTTATTGTTTCTGTTGGGTTTACCAGTTTGCGAAGCACAGAAGTGGATAAATAGAGATAATAAATGTAAAGGTTTATAGAGGACGTAGAGGTGGATGGTGAGAGATGGGGAGGGTGAGGGGATTTCAGGAGTAAACAATGAATTTGGGATGTGCGAGGGAGCA